AACATCTGCACACTTTGACTTTCAGGAAATTGTCCTTGCCAGGACTGTACACTAACTATGCTGATTGGATAATTATAATACATATACATGCATCAGTAAATTAAATTGTCTGGTCGGAGTGTAGTGGTGTTTACAACTAATTGATCACAACCAGTTACAGGTTTCTTGGTTCCTTCTCCACTCCCACTGCTTCACCTGATTAGCCTATACATATCAAAATGTATATCACAATAAATATAAGACAAAATATATATCAATATATGTCAAAGTATAATTTATCAATTAATACATGTTTTAAAAATATTTTTAAAACTCAAAAAAATTAAAACAAACCAATATCACTTTTCTCAGGTAGATGGTATAATTAATTCATTTGCTAGAAACCATAAGAAATTTGAGAACATTTAAAGCACTCTACTGAATAAAAATTCAATTAATAAATATTTTCTAAATATTAAAAAACAGAGTAGTAATATCATTAGGTCATCTAATAGGATAAAATAGCTTTATAATTTAATGAGCATTTCCAGATGAAAAGAAACAATTTGAACCTGTATAATTACCCAAAATGTGTTAAAAGATATCTCCCATGTATGTGATATTTTAATAATTACCACTTATGTGTTTCTATTAAATTAACCTCATTCTATTTTAGTGGTTTAAATCTAATTCCCAATATAAACCAAACTGAGAAAGAAATTAATGTAGGCAGACACATTGTTATTGTCGATGCCTGAATAGCAACATTCAAACTTTAGGGTTTCAAAAAATTTAGAAACACAATAACATTGACATAATGTGAATAAATATATTTGTTTCCTTCTCCACTGAGTTTACCCTTGACATGCATTGAAACATCTTAAATACATGATCAGAATTCATTTCTGAACGTTGGGCTAAGGCCATCCTCTGTATCAGTGACTCAGCCTAGAATGTCCAAAGTCTCACTGGACAATCTCCAGTGAATACCAGCAAAACAACTGTTAATCTCATTCTCCAGGTAAAGAAGGAGTGGATGCATGATTGCTGCTGAATCCCCATGGAGGTCTCTGCAATCTCACGTGTAGGGATGAAAAATCAATGTATACATTTCTTTAAAAACCATGAATTTGTTTCTATGATGACTGTAGGACTGCTGTCAGCTGAGCAAAGGCAGTGAATATTTGGAAATGAGGAAATAATAAAGGTACTAATTATAACTGTATTTTTAAATTTTTATTGATAACAGGGAAGAAGGAACTCTGGCAAGTGCTTGAGAGAACTTTGTTCAGAAATAGAATTGAGGTGAATTTCAGCACTAATGACTGTACTTTCTGTAACACCATTCAGCAGAAATCTTGGAGTATGAAATGCAGACAACCAAAAGTGGTTTTGAAGCTAATTCATAAATGTGTTTTCTGGATGGGAAGGGAAATGATGGTCAATGGAAGAGACAGGGATAGATTATATTAGACTATGCTTTTATGAGCTCCAGCAAAATTAAAGAACCCATATTCACAATAATGATCGTAGAAGGCAGCATTTCCTTGTTCCTACTTGGCTAGTGTCTTGTGCTATTTTGGTTTGATATCTTTTGCCATGAATGATGAGTGATTATATGACGCTCATTATAATCTTATTGCTGCTTCTCACTTGGTATTTTACCTTACATGAATCCAATCTTTCTAATGAAATACCTGGAAAGTATTAGTGTTGTTTTTGCATAAAAATGTTAAAGGGGCATTAAAGTAAAGGTACAACGAGAATGGTTAAAATCACTGGTCTGGTAAGGGGAACATCACACACCTGGGCCTGTTGTGGGGAGGGGGAGGGGGGAGGGAGAGCATTAGGAGATATACCTGGTGTAAATGACGAGTTAATGGGTGCAGCACACCAACATGGCACATGTATACATATGTAACAAACCTGCACGTTGTGCTCATGTACCCTAGAACTTAAAGTATATTTTTAAAAAAATCACCGGTCTGCAGTGCAATGATACATTTTTTTAAAAGGAGGACGTTCTTCTGGAAAGCAATAATGAAGGTAACCGTATGATTAGTAGCTGTGCTGTGGTTATCCAGATTTTGTTTTTACAGCCAATTTGTGTCAAATTGTAGTTTTTTGTGCTTTTAACTTTCACAGTGTATTTATTTTCTCTCAGGACACAAGGTAAACTTCCAGTGAAATTATAGAACTATCTGCCTTAACAACCATGCAGAGTTTTTGTGAGAAGCCAATGAGCATAGTATGCAGAAACAATGTGCAGGCTATATTATGCTACAGTCATAGCGGATACCAAGTGTGTGAATGTAAGCGATAGTGATTATGTTGATGATGAGGGAAATGATAATGATGAAGATGCTGAAACCTGCAGGTTCTCTTCAGTGATACACCCAGTCAAGTAATACAGAGTCACTATCTCACAGACAGCTCCTAACAACCCATGGATTCTTCTCCCTGTTGTAATTATAACATACAGGGCCAGATGTTCATCAACAAAAGCTTACATTTCTAGTAACTGTAAGAGGTAGAATTCGATTTACTTTTAAATGGAGCCTCTGTCCCTTGAACTTACACAGTGAAGCAGAGTAAGCACATCCTCATTCCAAAACAACCGTCAAAGGATACTTCATCCTCACTTTCATAATCACTTTCTGTCTAGCCACGGAAATGTCTGTCTGCCCATTTACCTGTGTATCTATGAGAGCTGACGCACCATCGTGGACCTCAATGGCAGGTTGTGACTTGGAAGCACACGTACACACAAGCAAATACTCACTTTACATTCTTTACTCCTTTACACCTCAAAGAGTTATGGTTCTCCAACTTCATACCCTTCTCAACAATTACAAATACACATTGCACAAATATTAAATAAGATCAGTTATTCCTAAGTCAGTTAAGTACAACATTATGTACTGTGTCTCTTCTTAGGAGAATCTATTGTGGAGGAACTTGAAGGAAGGAGGAATCTCCTTTAGGATTCCATGTCAGGATGCTGTGGAGAGCCGTTCTTGTCTAGACTCCAGAGGACACTCTTTTGTGTCATCTGATTGACATTCTACACAAGTGTTATCAATGTGAAATAATTCTTACTATAGACCTGCAGATTCAGGTACAGACAGCTTATGTTAAGGAATTGAGGCTGACTCATGGAGTCAATGAGTTCTCAGCCGTTGCAGTGAAACTGACCCTGTCACCTATTTTACTGTTTCCCAGCCCTATGTGTAAGGGAGATCACTTTCTGGAATTTTCAGAGATTCAGAACTTTAGTATATTTCAGATATCGCTTCAGAAGAGAGGAAGTAATCCAGATTCTGGGAAACTCCATAAAGAGTATCTTGGATATTGGGGACTTTTAAAACTTCAATCTGATTTCTTATAAAACTTCAAGCAAAGCCAACTTGTGCTCCTACCTCCCCAGCTTTTTCTTTTCTTTCCTCTCTCTTTTCTTTTGGTAAATCTTCACGTTTTCTGCACCTATGCAAATGATCATACCAACTTTAAGGAGACCAGCCTTATTTTGTGATGAATAATGATTTTTCTTTGAGAATAGCTTTGATCAAAGCTGAGGAAAGTATAGGGAGTAAAATCTGTGCCTCTGTGGAAAACTGCAGCATCTGGACTCAAGAGCACCATCCTCCTTGGTTCCCAAGTCTGTCACTAGGTCGTTACACAGTCATGAATAACTCTCTTCAAATCTTGTGATTCAGTTTTTCTTCCTTGTGATAATGAGACTATGTTTGAAAAGTCTTTGTCTCCTCTGAATATATGAATCACTAAATTAGGCTACTGTCTTCATCTCACTTTCAACTCTAAATTGAAGGATAGGAAAGAGATCCATGCAACGCAATGATGCTTTTTGACTTCAATAGTTAGTAATAGGTAATTCATTTGAAACGTGGGCAGCATTTGGAGAATTGTAATTATTATGCTGAATATGTACATCCTCAAATTGATTTACACAGGAGATTATATGGGTGTTTTTTGGTAACTGAATTCTTCCAGTAGGGAAAGTTTTACATTGGGAACAAGATAGAAAATGTCTTTCATTTAGAGTTTCTGAGAAACCATTTTTTTCTGTGAATCTACATAATAGTTGCCAGGTGAAGTGAAAGTACAGTAATACAAGGAAACAGAAAAAGATTTGTAATGAGTAAATATTAATCATCACAAAATCCTACTTGTTGTTTTACATTTCTTATACTTTCTCAATTATTTAATACTTATATGGAGTTTTTGTTTTAATAAATTTAATTTTTTTCTTTTATTTTTGTCTTGGCTGAATAAAAACTGAACCAGCCTTATTTCAAATTTACTGCCAAAATTTTTTGAGGAATGAACTACACCACACATTTTTTAAAAGGCTTATATTAATGCATGTTTATCTAGATGTCACATTTATTTGTAGTAGATATGTGTGTACATATGTATATATGCATATATGTATGTGTGTTTGTGAATCTAGAGAAGTTTACTGAAAATCTCTGAATCTGTTTCATCATCTATAGAATATCAGTGGCGATACCAATCTGAAGAGTTAGTTTGATGAACTCCAGCAGAATCAAGGAATGAACCCTGTGACATTCTAGGTGCCAACGTGTGGCGATAGTCCGTGAAAGTTCATGCCTCCCTCCTTCCTTTCATGTGAGACGTAGTTCAGGTTTGAGGTTTGTGGGTCCTACTAACTCTGAAATCTTGACCAGAACTTTTTCTGCTTGTTCCTTCCTCCTGTGTATTCTGTCATTAAGGCTGATGACTGCATACAGAACTTTTAGTGAAAAAAAAAGTAAAAGCAAGTGAAGATGTTTCTTAGTAGGCTAAAATACCTTCCTTATAGCTATTTCTGTTAATACAAAAATGAAAGAGCCAGAAATAATCCATTTGTATTTATTTCTACATAAGAAAAACTATCTTCTTCACATTATTGAAACAAGAACATCATGGCTGAGGCTGCTTTCCTGTCAGGAACCAGCCTCTAATTTTATTTAAATAATATTATATAATAGGACATTAGAATATTAGAACCCTGGAACATGGATAATAAAAAGATGATACATTGGCAGTCATAAAACATGGCATTAACTATCAGATCTGATATGCCATTTATTATGCTATTCTATGTTATTTTTTCTTCTCTTTAGAATATTATGTTAACTATCTCTTGGACAGTTTGTCATAGAGAGTCCTATGTAGAACACAAATGATACAATTGTTTGAAATGTTAATTGTGTTAACAATTTCAAATATTACATGTTCTACTTACCAATAATTACACTAGTAATATAAATTACAGAGTACTGGATTAGTCTTAATCCAATTGTTAAGTATTGGAATAGTCTTAATGCCAATCTCCTCTTGATTCCAAATGACATTTATGAAAATAATTTGCTCTTCTAAATTTTCTTTCAAAAATTACCAGTGTCATAAAATAATTGAAAATAAATTTCTCTGCTGTGGCTTAGAAACCTGCCAAGATGTTTAAAAAATTTATTTGGAAATCCAAATTGGAATAGTTTCAGTTTCAGTACATGTAAGTTATTTTTTATTAGGTGATTTTATTAAGTGATTTAAATATGCATAAGAGAAACACCATTTTAACCTTTTTAAGTGTAGAATTCTGTGTCATTAAGTACATATATTGTTGTGTAACCATCACTACCATGCACCTATCTCCAAAACCATTTCATTGTCTCCAACTAACACTTTGTTCTTGTTAAACAATTAATCTCCTTCTCTCCCTTCCCCCATCCTCCAGAGTCCAGCATTCCACTTCTGTCTCTGTGAATTTCACTACTCTGGATACTTCATGTAAGTGAATTCATACAGTATTTGTCTTTTTGTGACGGGCTTATTTCTCTTAGCATAATGTATTCAAGCTTCATCCATGTTGTAGCATGTGTCAAAGTTTCTTCGCTTTTAAAAACTGTATATACATACTATATTTATATTGATTTCTCTGTAGATGGTCACTTGCTTTGCTTCTGCCTTTGGGCTATTGTGAATAGTGTTGCTATGAACGTGGGAATAGAAATATTTGTTTGATGCAAAAACAGAATAACAAATACTGCATGTTCTCAGGTATAAGTGGGAGCTAAGCATTGGGTACACACGGACATAAAGATGGGAACAGTAGACACTGGGGACTCCAAAAGAGGAGAGTTAGGGAGGAGGCAAGGGTTGAAAAGCTACCTATCTATGCTGTGTTCATTATTTTGGAGAAGGATTCAACAGAAGCCCAAACCTCAGCTTAACACAGGATATCCATGTAACAAACCACGAATGTACTTACTGAATAAAAACAAAAACAAAAACAAAAATATCTGTTCAGGTGTCTGCTTTTATTTAATTAATTAATTTATTATTTTATTTATTTCATTCAGAACTGAAATTGTTGGATCATATACTCATTCTTTGTTTAAATTTTGGAGGAATTACTATGCAGATGGTTCCAGATTTACAAAAATTTGATGATTTTTGACTTTATGATGAGTTTATAGGAACATAACCACATTGTAAGTTGACGAATACCTGGACATACGATGCTTTGACTTACAATTTTTGACATTATGATGAGTTTATCCGGATACTAAATGCATTTATCCAGATACTAAATGCATTATGATGAGTTTATCCGGATACTAAATGCATTTTTACTTACAATTTTTTCAACTTACGGTGGGTTTATAAAGGTGAAACTCCACTGCAAATTGAGAAGCACTCATTTTCCAGAGTGCCTTTATTATTTGACATTTTTACCAACTATTCTTTATAGTTCTATCTCTTGCATTTAGGTTTTTTATTCATTTTGACTTAATTTTTCAGTATGGTATAGAGTAAACATCCAAATTCAATATGTTAAATGTAAATATCCATTTTTCCAAACACCGTTTATTGAAAAGACTGTTCCATCTCCACTGAGTGGACTTAGTTCCTTTTTGAAAAAAGGTTACCATGTATGTGAGAGATAATTTCTTGACTCTGTTTTATCCTGTTGAGCATATGTCTGGCTTTGTGCCATTGCCACATTGTTTTGATTACTATAGCTTTGAGTAAGTTTTAAAATCAGAAAGTGTATGTCTGGGTGCAGTGGCTCACGCCCGTAATCCCAGCACTTTGGGAGGACAAGGTGGGCAGATACCGAAGTAAGAAGATTGAGACCATCCTGGCTAACATGGTGAAACCCTGTCTCTACTAAAAGTACAAAAAAATTTAGCTGGGCGTGGTGGTGGGCGTCTGTAGTCCCAGCTACTCAGGAGCCTGATGAAGGAGAATGGCGTGAATTCGGGAGGTGGAGCTTGCAGTCACCTGAGATGGTGCCACTGCACTCCAGCCTGGGTGACAGAGCAAGACTCCATCTCAAAAGAAAAAAAAATTAGATTGTGTGAGTCTTTAAATTTTGTTCTTTTTCCAAAAAAATCAAGATTTTTTGACTACTGAAGATCCTTTAAGATTCATGTAAATTTTAGAATGGGCTTTCCTGTTTCTGAAAAAAAAAGATTTTAATTTTGATAGAGATTCCACTTTTTTTTGGCTTTGTGTACTTTATTATTATTTTTTTTAATAATTATTTTATTGTTTGTTTTTAAGTTCCAGGGTATATGTGCAGGAAGAGCAGTTTTGTTTCATGGGTAAACGTGTGCCATGGTGGTTTGCTGCACCTATCAATCCATCACCTAGGTATTAAACCCAGCATGCATTAGCTCTTTACCCTAATGCTCTCCCCTCCACTGCCCTCCCACAATGGGCCCCAGTAAGTGTTGTTCCCTTCCTGTGTCAATTTGTTCTCATTGTTCAGCTCCTACTTCTGTGTGAAAATACACGGTATTTAGTTTTTTGTTCCTGCATTAGTTTGCTGAGGATAATGCCTTCCACTTTCATCCAGGTCCTTGCAAAGGACATGATATTGTTCTTTTTTATGGCTATATAGTATTCCACTGTGTATATGTACCACAGTTTCTTTATCCAGTCTATCATTAATGGGCATTTGGGATGATTCCATGTTTTTGCTGTTGTGGATAGTGCTGCAGTGAACATACACATGCTGGTACCTTTATAATAGAATAATTTATATTCCTTTGGGTATATACCCAGTAATGGGAATGCTGGATCAAATGGTATTTCCAGTTCTAAGTCTCTGAGGAATTGCCACACTGTCTTCAACGATAGGTGAACTAATTTACATTCCCATCAACAGTGTAAAAGCATTCCTATTCCTATTTCAAAGCCTCACCAGCATCTGTTGCTTCTTGACTTTTTAATAATTGACATTCTGATTGGCAGGAGATGGTATCTAATTATGGTTTTAATTTGCATTTCTCTAATGATCAGTGATGTTGTGCTTTTTAAAATATGTTTGTTGGCTGCACGTATGTCTTTGAGAAACGTCTGCTCATATCCTTTCCCCACTTTTTAATGTTTTTTTTTTTCTTCTTCTAAATTTGCTTAAGTTTCTTATAGATTCTGGATATTAGACCACTGTCAGATGGATAGATTGGAATAATTTTCTCCCATTCTGTAGGTTGTCTGTTCATTCTGGTGATAGCTTTGATTGTTGTATAGAAGCTCTTTAGTTTAGTTAGATCCCATTTGTCAATTTTTGCTATTGTTGCAATTGCTTTTGGAGTGTTTGTCATAAAATCCTTGCCCATGCCTATTTCCCGGATGATATTGCCTATATTTTCTTTTAGGGCTTTTATAGTTTTGAGTTTTACATTCCAGTCTTTAATCCATCTTGAGTTAATTTTTGTATAATGTGTAAGGAAGGAATCCAGTTTCAATTTTCTGCATATGGCTAGCCAGTTCTCCCAGCACCATTTATTAAATAGGGAATCCTTTCCCCATTGCTTGTTTTAGTCTGGTTTGTTGAAGATCAGATTGTTGTAGATGTGCAGTCTTATTTCTGAGTTTCCCATTCTGTTCCATAGGTCTATGTGCTTGTTTTTGTACCAGTACCATATGTTTCTGTTACTGTAGCTTTGTAGTATAGTTTGCAATCGGGTAGCCTGATGTCTCCAGCTTTGTTCTTTGGTTATGCTAGCCATTTTTTGGTTCCATATCATTTTAAAATAGTTATTTTTTTTCCCTAACTTTGTGGAGAATATCAATGGTAGTTTAAGTGGAATAGCACTGTATCTCTAAATTGCTTTGGGCAATATGGCCATTTTCACAATATTGATTCTTCCTATCCATGAGTATGGAATGTTTTTCCCTCTGCTTGTGTCCTCTGTGATTTCCTTGAGCAATGATTTGTAGCTCATTCATGATTGGGCTTTCTGTCTGTCTCTTGCTGGAATGTAGGATTGCTTGAGATTTCTGCACATTGATTTTGTATCCTGGGAGTTTGATGAATTTGCTTATCAGCTTAAGAAGGCTTTGGGAAGAGTCAATTGGGTTTTCTGGATAGAATCATGTCATCTGAAAACAAAGATAATTTGACTTCCTTTCTTCCTAATTGAATACCCTTTCTTTTTTTCTCGATTGGATGCCCTGGTCATACCTTCCAACACTACGTTGAATAACAGTCATGAGAGATGGCCTCCTTGTCTTCTGCTAGTTTTCAAAGGGAATGTTTCCAGCTTTTGCCCATTCAGTATGATACTGGTTGTGGATTTGTCATAAATGGCTATTATTATTTTGAAGTATGTTCCTTCAATACCTAGTTTATTGAGAGTTTTTAACATGAAGGGAAGTTGAATTTTATCGAAAGCCTTTTCTGTGTCTATTGAGATAATCATGTAGTTTTTGTCTTTAGTTCTGTTTATGTGATTGATTACATTCATTGATTTTGTATGTACAACCAGTTCTGTATCCAGGGGATGAAGCTGACTTGATTGTGGTGGATAAGCTTTTCGATGTGCTGTTGGATGCAATTTTTCAGTATTATATTGAGTATGTTTGCATCACATTGTTCATCAGGGATATTACAGGAAGTTTTCTTTTTTTGTGTCTCTGCCAGGTTTTGGTATCGGGATGATGCTGGCCTCATATAACGAGTTAGCCTAGGCTGGGCATGTTGGCTCACACCTGTAATCCCAGCACTTTGGAAGGCCGAGGCAGGTGGATCACCAGAGGTGAGGTGTTTGAGACCCGCTGGGGCAACATGGTGAAACCCCATCTCTACTAAAAGTACAAAAAGTTAGCCAGGTGTGGTGCTGCACACCTGTTGTCCCAGCTACTCTGGAGGCTGAGGCACGAGAATCACTTCAACCTGGGAGGTGAAGGTTGCAGCGAGCTGAGATTGTGCCACTGCACTCCAGCCTGGGTGACAGTGAGACTCCATCTCAAAAAAGAAAAAAAAAAAAAGAGTTAGGGTGGAGTCCTTCCTTTTCAATTGTTTGGAACAGTTACAGAAAAAATGGTAACAGCTCCACTTTGTACCTCTGGTAGAATTCAGCTGTAATCCATCTGGGCCTGGGCTTTTTTGGGTTGGTAGGCTATTATTGCCTCAATTTCAGAATTTGTTATTGGTCTATCCAGGGTTTCAAATTCTTCCTGGTTCAGTCTTGGGAGGGTTTATGTGTCCAGAAATTTATCAATTTCTTCTAGATTTTCCAGTTTATTTGCATAGAGGTGCTGTTAGTATTCTCTGATGGTTGTTTATATTTCTCTGGGGTTAGTAGCAGTATTTACCTTACTGTTTCTGATTGTGTTCATTGGAATCTTCTCTCTTTTCTCCTTTATTATTCTTGATAACAGTCTATCAAGCTTATTGAATTTTATTCAAAAACCAGCTCCTGGATTCGTTAATTTTTTGAAGGGTTTTTTGAGTCTCCATCTCCTTCATTTCCACTCCAATCTTGGTTATTTTTTATCTTCTGTTAGCTATTGGGTTTGTTTGCTCTTGGTTCTCTAGTTCTTTTAGTTGTGATGTTAGGGTGTCAATTTGAGATCATTCTAGCTTTCTGCTTTGTGCCTTTAGTACTATAAAGTTCCCTCTTAACATTGATATATCTGCGTCCCAGAGATTCTGATGAGTTGTCTGTTTGCTTTCTTTGGTCTCAAAGAACTTCTTGATTTCTGCCTTAATTTCATTATTTACCCAGGAGTCATTCAGGAGCAGGAGCAGGAGCAGGAGCAGGTTGTTCTATTTCCCTGTAGTTGTGTGGTTTCGAGAGGCTTTTTTTTTTTTTTTTTTCTTTGATGGCTGGAGTTCCTCTCTGGAACCTCTGCCTCTTGGGTTCAAGCAATTCTCCTGCCTCAGCCTCCCAAGTAGCTGGGACTGCAGGTGCGCGCCAACATGCTTTACTAAATTTTTTTGGATTTTAGTAGACACAGGGTTTCACCGTGTTGCCCAGGCTGGTGAGAAACTCCTGAGCTCAGGCAATCTGCGCACCTCGGCCTCCCAAAGTGCTGGGATTACAGTTATTAGCCACCTTGCCCGGCCTTAAGGGGGCTTTAACCTTGAGTTACAATTTGAATGGTCGGAGAGACTGTTTGTTATGATTTCAGTTCTTTTGTATTTGCTGAGGAGAGTTTTACTTCCAATTATGTGATCAGTTTTAGAGTAAGTGCCGTATGATGCCAAGAAAAAATGTGTATTTTGTTGTTTTGGGATGGAGAGTTCTGTAGATATCTATCAGGTCTACCTGATCTAGAGGTGAGTTCAAGTCCTGAATATCTGCTAATTTTCTGTCTCAATTATCTGTCTAATAGTGATGGTGGGGTATTAAAGTCTCCCACTATTATTGTTTGGGGTCTAAGTCTCTTTGTAGGTCTCTAGGATCTTGTTTTATGAATCTGGATGCTTCTGTATTGGTTTCATAAATACTTACAACGGTTAGAAATTTTTGTTGAATTGAACTCTTTTACATTATGTAATACCCTTCTTTGTCTTTTTTGACCTTTGTTGGTTTAAAGTCTATTTTGTCAGAAATTAGGATTGCTACCCCTGCTTTTTTCTTTTTTCCTTTTGCTTGGTAACTTTTTCTCTATTCCTTTATTTCGAGTTTATGTGCGTTTTTGCACATGAGACGTGTCTCTTGAATATAGCACACTGATGGGTGACTTTGGGCATTGTTGACACCTTAGCAGTATTAAGCCTTCCAATTGATAAATATATAGGATGCATTCCCATTTATTTTTGTCTTCTTTAATAGCTCTAGTCAGCATTTTCTCATTTTCAATGTATAAAGTTTTTAACTCCTTGGTTAGGTTTATTCTTAAGTGTTTTATTTCTTTGTGTTACTACTGTAAATAAAATCAGAGTATACTTTTCAGATTATTCTTTGTTAGTGTACAGAATTACAACAGGTTCTGGCTATTAATGTTGCATCCTGTAATTTTGCTAATTTTATTTATTATTTATCCTAAGTTTTCTACATATATAATTATGTCATATGCAAATAGAAATAATTTTAGTTCTTTCTTTTGAATTAAGATAATTTTTATTTCTTTTCTTGTTTAATTGTTTTCACTGAACTTTCAGTAATGTGTTAAGTAGATGCAGAGAAAGTGGACTTCCGTATCTTGGTGCAAATCTTACAGTCAAAGCTGCCAGTCTTTCATTATTATGATGAAGCTGTGGGTTAAAATTCCATCTGTGACATAATTTTTACATCACTGTAATGTTTTATGCAACAAATGAATAGACATGGTCTCAACAGACCACAGGGTAAAATGTTAGAAACATAACTCTTGCTGACCCCAAAGACAAGGACATCAAATTATCTTTCCAGTTTTCCCTCATATTTCTCCATGTATTTTCAGACAATACATTCATCTGTTAATGCTTGATTTTCTATATCTCAAATTCCATTCCTTGATCCATGATACAGGCTCCCACGGATAGTGGCCTGCTCCCTCCTCCATCATCACCCCCAGGTTCCTTACACTCCTCCCACTGTCACAGCAGAACTGCATTCCACTTTATGTCTGCACTGAGGGGTTGACAACATCATTTAATCTTATAGAATTTATTGCTACAATACAAAAAAATATAAACTATTGTAAAACCTGGTTTGAGATATATATAGATATCTCTATATCTATCTATCTATATTTCTTCTGATATTACTTTCATTTCAAAAGCTTTACAATTTTGTCTTGCATGTAATATTTAGAATTTTTAGGAAATTTTTCCAAGGAAATAGCATTTTTAAATAATATTTTTCAGGAAAGTATTTCTCACTTATTTTTGTGAATTTGCATGCCATTTGAATATGACAGTTAACATATTTCATTTCAGAGAAAATTTTTTAAGAATATTAACTTCATTATTTTACTGAATGCATTTCTAAGAAAGTCCTTAAGCACATATTGTTCCTCCAATATGATTTCCCTACTTTTTAAAATCTTTCCTCAATAACAATATTTTCATATTGTTGTTGCTTTTGTTTACCTTCTAATACATTTTTCTTACTTTGCCTTTTGAAACTTTCACTTAATTTTTTTTATCATTTATTATATTTTTACTTTTCAATGGTCCATTATTGTTACCTGTTGCATCCTTTTAGATAGCAAATGATATTTATTTCATGGATTTCATAGCATATCATACGTCTCTGAAGATAATGAATTCTGATCACAACAATTCTTCTGCATTTTTTAATCATCATAATCTCAGTGTATTTATGAGTATGATCATATGTGATTATGCATATTTCTGTGTGTATGCATGCTGTGTGAATGTTAGTCGTATATGTGGCTATACTAGCTCAAAATTCTGGTGGTATTTGGCTCTAGGCTAATATTTAAGCTAAAAATCTCCAGTCCTTTTAGGCATACTGTGCAAAGTTGTTCTCTGATGTCTTCTATCTGGAGTAGAGTTTCTAACGCACCTCTACCCAGAAGTTTGCCAGAATTCTAGTTTCTGTTTTTATTTAGGAGATAGAACTTTCCTCAAAATTCATTCTTTTGAAGGATCCATAAAGCAATCTATAATGTTATCTAAGCACTAGAGAAGGAAAAGACAAAATGTGTAACCTATTTGGTAAGGGGTCTGCTTTCACTAGAGAATTTTGAAATTAGGCAAGGAGGCAAAAGAGAATGGATAATGATGAATGTTGAAAATCAAGAGTGTGAATTAACATGGCTTTGGTTAAAGGGACATAGCAATAAGGATTTATTCTGGATTTCTAAATAAATGAACCAAATAATGATAACTGATGAAATAATTGATAATTGGCATTATTGTGCAAACATCATTCAAGTCTCTCAAAATGACGGAGAGGCTGCTGCAGTTTTAGAAGTGAATCTGGCAGAATAAACATGGGTTGGGTGAGGCACTTCTAGCATTTGCAAAGCCGAGACAGGAGTATGGGTGAGGCCGAGTTCAAAACCAGCCTGGGCAACACAGCAAGACTTCATGTCTACAAAAAAAAAAGTTAACTAGGTATGGTGGCACGTGGTTGTAGTCTCAGCTACTCAGGAGGCTGAGGCAGGTGGATCGCTTGAGCCAGAATGTCAAGGATGCAGTGAGCAATGATATTGCCACTTCACTCCCTCCTGGGTAACAGAAAGAGACCCTGTCACTCAAAAAAATAAAAGTATAAATATGGAAAGATAATATATCTTCCTATAAAGATAATACTATTTTTTTCAAATAGAAATCTAAATGTATGCATTTATATTGACTTTCTATGCATATGTATTCAATATAACATCTGATTTTGATTATATCTGAGTTAGTGTCAGGCAGTAAAATATTATTCTATTGAAGTTGTAATAGAGATATCTTTCTTATAAGTTTATATATTTCTCAGAAAAAAATCTGGTAACAAATGTTGGTCTCATCAAATGTGAAACTCTGGGTAAAAAAACAAGATTTCTTTTTCAAAACAGGTACAAAATCAGATCAAAGAAGGCTGAGTACAATAAAACATTTTGAGAGAGAAAGAGACCATATTCAGATAATTTGTATTATACTATACTGTATACTTGTTCTATTTTATTATAAGTTACTCTTGTTTATCTCTTACTTGTCTTATTTAAAAATTAAACTTTATCAGAAGTATGTATGGACACAAAATAATATATATAGGGCTCAGTGTCAACCCCAGTCTCGAGAATTTACTGGGGGGCTTCAAATGCATCCGCTGCAGATAAAGATGGATTTCTGTGCTTAACTTATCCTTGTGTCTCCCTTCAGGAAAGAGCATATGAAATCCCCATGGAAAATTACAATCAAACATCAACTGATTTCATCTTATTGGGGTTGTTCCCGCCATCAAGAATTGGCCTTTTGCTCTTCATCCTCATTGTTCTCATTTTCCTAATGGCTCTATTTGGAAACCTATCCATGATTCTTCTCATCTTTTTGGACACCCACCTCCACACACCCATGTATTTCCTACTTAGTCAGCTCTCCCTCATTGACCTAAGTTACATCTCCACCATTGTTCCTAAGATGGCTTCTGATTTTCTGCATGGAAACAAGTCTATCTCCTTCACTGGGTGTGGGATTCAGAGTTTCTTCTTCTTGGCATTAGGAGGTGCAGAAGCACTACTTTTGGCATCTATGGCCTACGATCGTTACATTGCTGTTTGCTTTCCTCTTCACTATCTCATCCGCATGAGCAAAAGAGTGTGTGTGCTGATGATAACAGGATCTTGGATCATAGGCTCTATCAATGCTTGTGCTCACACTGTATATATTCTCCATATTCCTTATTGCCAATCCAGGGCCATCAATCATTTCTTCTGTGATGTCCCAGCCATGGTGACTCTGGCCTGCACGGACACCTGGGTTTATGAGGGCACAGTGTTTTTGAGCACCACCATCTTTCTGGTGTTTCCCTTCATTGGTATTTCATGTTCCTATGGCCGGGTTCTCCTTGCTGTCTACCGCATGAAATCTGCAGAAGGGAGGAAGAAGGCCTACCTGACCTGCAGCACCCACCTCACTGTAGTGACTTTCTACTATGCACCTTTTCTCTACACTAATCTACGTCCAAGATCCCTGCGATCTCCAACAGAGGACAAGGTTCTGGCTGTTTTCTACACCATCCTCACCCCAATGCTCAACCCCATCATCTACAGCCTGAGAAACAAGGAGGTGATGGGGGCCCTGACACGAGTGAGTCAGAGACTCTGCTCTGTGAAAATGTAGAAACATTTTCTATTTAAGGCCCCAGGACTCAGATACACATCCATCCAGCAGTGTATAGTAATTAAAACATTATTTCAATCCTAGAGTTCAGGAGCTAAAAGTAATCAAGGTAAGAGAAAAAAAATCACTGATTTCTGGACAAAATTGTTACACACACACACACACACACACACACACACATATATAATTCTAAACAACCTTTTTTCTTCATGGCATTGTTTCCATAAATTTTGAAAGCACCTACTTTTGCTAATATGTTGTCAATGAGAATTTTTGGTTTTGGTCATGCAGAAATGGAAATGAAATTTGTCTAAATTTGGCACTCAGCATAACAATTTCATTATGGTCAATTTGTTTTCCAGTAATTTTAAATTTACTTTTTTGTTTATGTCTAAAACAAAACAAAAAATAAGTCTCTTGACTTGGTGTATCTAATTGAAAGCTGTAAGATGTCTTATCTTTCTTATCTTAGACACTTAACATACCAGTTACCCATTCTTTCAATTTAGGGAAGTTGTTTTTACGCAATTTAGCAGAGAGCTCATCAGGGATTCTTAAGTCCTGATACCACTCTGGATGGCCTATGACAAGATGATGTTCTTTATAGGGGAATGAATCCCGGGAAATGATTTAACATTAGGTATATTTTGATCAACAACAAGGACTGGAATGTGCCAGCAGTAATAAAAATGGTTACATTTAGGTCTTTAACCTGTTTTGGGTTGATTTTGGTATAGTGTAAGGACGGGGAGTTTAGTTTGATTTTTCTGTCTAAAAATATCCAGTTTTCCCAGCACCGTATATTGAAGACACTGTCTTTTTCCCAATGAATGTTCTTGGTACTGCTGTCAAAAATCAGTTACACAGAAAGGTTTTGTGTGTTCTTACTCCTATGCGGGATCTAAAATTTTAAAAACCTGAACTAGTGGAAATAGATAAAAGACTGATGGTCACCAGAGGGTAGGAACGGTACAGGTGAGGGGTGATAAAGTGGGGATGGTTATAGTTGCAAAAATATAATTAGATAGAATGAATAAGAATCAGTATTTGGTAGCACAATAGAGTAACTATAGTAAACAATAATTATTGTAGAATTTATTGTACGTATTAAAGAATAACTGAAAGTGTGCAATTAGAATGTTCCCAACACAAAGAAACAAGACATATTTGAGGTGGTTACCCCAATTACCCCAATTTGATCATTATGCATTGTATGTCTTTATCAAAACATCACATATACTCCACAATTATGTATTACTATTAAAAAACATCACATATACTCCACAATTATGTATTACTATTAAGTATCCATAGTAATTAAAATAAAAAAATCAGTTAGCTGTAGATACATGGATTTATTTCTGCGTTCTCTGTTCTGTTTCACTGTTTTATGTGTCTGTTTTTATGCCATTGCCATTCTCTTTTGGTTATTACTTGTTTGTAGTATAGTTGAAGTTTGGTACTATTATGGCTCCAGTTTTTTTCTTTTCATTCTAGAATGCTTTGACTATTTGGGTTCCATACAATAGTTCGATAGAAATCTTTAATAATGGTTTTTACTATTTATGTACAGAATGTCATTAGTATTTTGATAGACATTGCATTGAATCTGCAGTTTGGTCATTTAAATAATATTAGTTCTTCCAATCCATGAGCATTAGATTTCTTTCCATTCATTTGTATTTCTCTTCATTTTCTTTCACCAGTGATTTGTACAAACACATTCTAGTGTTCTCTTCCATGATTACAGTTAACAGTAAAGTATTACATAGTTCAATGCTCTTTAAATTTCATTTCTATTTCTAAGCTGTGGATATTTGTTTTGCCATATTGTAGCAGTTAAAACATAAATTTTGAACTTGTTTTACAAATCAGACTAAGTCTTTGTTGTGCTTTGTTGCAATGAGCAGTGTGTATTTTTATTTTGTAATGATTTACTAACAAAGTTTACTGCCTTAGCTTCCTGGCATTTCCTGTCCTGATATTCACTCAGATAGGTCATATTCCATGAATACAATGGGGAGGGGCTCTGGAACAGAGGGAACATAGGCCTCCCATCATGAGTCACTCGCTGCTTCCAGGGAGATCACCTCCTTCCTTCCCCGTTAGAGACACTTGTACCCTACGGCCACCTGTGCCACTGCTTCTGTCGTCACCACCAATCTGAGCCCAGCCATACCCCAGCCACTCCTTGGAATCCTGTGGTGCTGGGAAGTATTACAAGATGTGTGTGTGTGTGTGTGTGTGTGTGTGTGTGCCCCCTTGTGTACACACTACTGGACCAAAACTGCTTGCAAATGTGACCAATCTGTCCAGCTCTTCTGTCACATGCATACTCAGAGATGAAATTATTAAATATTCCAATGATAACTGCAGAGCATGAAACTATGCATGGAGCCCTTTGAGTGTGGAATCCTGTGCATATGCCCATGAGGCCAGTCCCGAGAAGGATGGAAACAGTGAGCAGGAAGTGAATGACATCATGCAGTCTAGGATAGTGGTGGGAATGTGAGACGGTCTGGGTGTTTGTATTCTCCCAAAATCCATATGCTTAAATTTTAACCCTTAATGTCATAGTATTAAGAGTTGGGGCCTTTTGGGAAAAGCTTAGGTCATGAGGATGGCACCCTCTTGAATAAGATTAATGCCTTTCTAAAGGAGGATCAAGGGAGCTTATTTGTCCCTTCTACCATGTGGGGTCACAGCAGATGGTACCATGTATGGTGTCATAGAAGGCACCATCTATGAACCAGAAAGCAAGATTTCTCCAGACACTGAATATTCAGTCACTGTGTCTTAAACTTCCCAGCTTCCGCAACTCTGAGAAATACATTTCTCGTTTATAGGTTACTCAGTTTAAGATATTTTTGTCATAGAAGCTTGAATAGACCGAGATACAATGCCGGCTGTTTTTGTTAGTTGTTATTACTGGAAAGAGCTTGAGGGAGGACTGAATTGAGCAGTGGTGCCCAGTTCAGACCCTTTACCCATTCCAGGTGGTGATTCATGGAGGGAAGCAGGAGACCTAGCTCTGTGATTTTCTGTGATGTACCATGGCCTTGGGGAAATCATTCCATCTCTCTGAAGTTAGTTTACTGGAAAACAATATGGATGGCTTTACCTTGTTGGTAAATGGCATCATTGAAGTCCCACCTACTGACATTCCTGTATAGGCAACGGTAATCCTATTTTTCATGCCAATGTCTCTGTGAATGGATAAAGAGGTCACCAATGAATGCTGAGCATTTCAAGGCTATCAGAAATGACTTCAAAATTCTTTTACCCCCATAGGCTCTGGTTCAGGGAAGCAATAAGCCCCTCCCCGCTGGCATAGTATCTGCACTCAGAGGCCACTCCTTCCCCCTTATGGTCATTAAGAATACTGGAGAAAAGTCAAATTTTCCAAATATACTGTCACTTGCTACATTGTTTATGAGAATGTAGTCCTGATAATTTTGAAAGTTGGATAATAATCCCTCTTGGGGAAATTAATGAATTCATTGCCTCACAGAGTCCTTGGCTCACTGTTCATTGTGCCTGGTTTTAGCCAGTTTTCTTTCCCTCCAAATGTTATGCTGTGGTTATTTTTCACTTCACAGTCATTCTTTAATTGTTTCATGTCCTCAGGCTAGAAGATGCAAATTTTACAGCATGCGGTATCTATTAGCATTTCATACCACACTGTGTGCATTTAGAAATTTCTTATGTATTAAATTAGCAAAGTTTGATTTATAGAAAGGGACATGAGTATTCTTTCTACTATAAAGGACAGTATCTTTCACATCACAACAAGCTGTGGTTCAATAGTGAAATAATTGAGTAGAGTGAAGGAGTGAATGACACACCATCCACAAATATGCTGAGTCAGCATATTTATTAGTTTGAGCTGAAAACATTTGAGAAATTTTGGTTAACATTGGAGAAAAAGGTTATCTCACCTGTCTTTTCAGCATACAGCAAGTTCTGAAGATTCCTCCAGGAGCCTCTGGTACGTTCTGATACTCTTCCAGTACCCTTTCTGTATCAGAATAGAAAACTGCCCTTCACCAGAGCCTGACAGCCGGAGGAATGCAGTGGGCCTGAATAAATAAACTACCAGAATTAACCCTCATGTTTTACTATCTTTACACCCCCATATACCTCCCAGTGACTCCCTTGGAATGTATGGCTTCGAGCTAGTTTCTCTTTTTTTCTATACTTTTTTCTGCAATTTATCATTCTTTTGCTAAAATTATAAAAAAAAATCTTGCTTTGACCATTTATTTGGACTTCACACTCTTGTGAAGATTCCCATGTACATGTAAAATGAATAAAACTTATATGCTTTTCCCTCGTTAATCTGTCTCGTATCGATTTGTTTCCTAGACCTTGGCGAAAGGCTCACAGGGGATATAAAGTGGGCGAGGTGGAGGTGATCCCTCGTGTTTCTATAGAAGTAATAATTGGCTTTCTTTTGTAAGATTTACCTCAACTCCACTGCTATTTTTTTTACTTGCCTTTAAAATCTGGAGAAAAAAATAGACAATTATTTTACGGATGAAATATCTTATAAATCACTGAATACTTATTCGATACTTATAGCATTTGAGGAGAATACAAAGATGAATACATGGATCACACATGTTGGATTGAGGTCAATTTGACATTTGGGACTTAATCTCAGCTATTTTGTCTCACTGCCACAAATTCAATCATATGATCCTTTTAATTTTATCTGATAAATATTTTAAAATAAAATAAAAAATCCTGGAGCTCAAAAACCTTTAAAAATATAATACAAAATCTATCATTGAAAAATGGTTTATTTATAAATTTGACTATTTCTAAACAATTCTTGATTGTAGTGATCATTATAAAGAAAAACAAAAGATACATAAAACTTAAAACAATATTGAATTATATTACACAGACACAGATTTATACTGGAATTATAAAGGGTTCCAAACATATATATATATAAAACCTATATATATATAAAATATATATGACCTATATATATATAATATATATAACCAATAACTCAATAGTGAAATAGGTAACATTTCCCAGAAAATAAAACACAAACAGCTCTAAAAAGTAGAAAAAGATGTTCTGTCTCATTTATGAAAATATAAATGGCAGTCAGAAATAAATAATCAGTTATATGTTTGCAAACTATCAAAATGTTTTAGGGCACAATGTGTTTTTTGGTACAAAATGGCAAACATGTTCTCACATGTATTACTGGGATGCAAATTTGTATAACTTTTTCGAAGAATTACCTAATGGATAGACAGATTATATATCTATACACACTAAGTAATTTAAATTATATGAATTATTTATATATATGTACATATATAATACTTAAATATACTTACATATAATATAAATATATGTAAATATATATTTATGTACACTTAAGTATATATGAATGATATATACTTACAAGTATATATCTTTTAAGTATATTTATATAAGTTAAATATACTTATGTATTAACTTTTTTATGTGTACATATATATATCATATATAAACATATAACTTCTACATATACTTCAATAAGTATATATACATATATACTTCAATGAGTATATATATACAGTTCAATAAGTATATATACATATATACTTCTATATATTATACATTATATATGCTTATATGTAACATATATGCTTATGTAAATATACAGCTATACATATACATATGTATACATATCTGTATAAACTTATCAAAAAGAGAAAGTTTAAGCACATGTACCAAAGACATGTAAAAGAAAATTCATAGCAGCATTATTCAATATAGTCAGAAACTGAAAATTCCTAGAGTAGAATGGATTAATGAATGATGATACATTAACATAAAACAAAATATTAAACCTCACTGTAAAAACTAGAGAGATGAAAAGTAATACCACTATTCAACATTACTACATGTATCTGAATTATGAAACTTTAAAAATAATAAAAGAAATACACACAAAAATTGTGTAGATGATAAATTTGGTTATTATGACTTCCAGTGTCTTCCTATAGAGTGCAAATTTCATACTGTTTGGAAGTAGTCTGGTATTTTCTATTAAATTTGGAAATTTACTAGTGCTGTAACCCAACAGTTCCTGAGTATATAATCAATTCGAGCTCTTGCACAGAACCACCAGTAGATTTCTACAGCAATCTGGGTTACAGCATAAGATATGATAGAATCCAAATAGGTACCCATCAACCCTGAAATGGCTAAATGCATTGCAATAAGATA